AGATAATGAACCGAGCTTTAGAAAGTTCTATCTATTTTATAAGATTATTTTTAAAGTAAAAAGCTCGTCTCATTATTTTAATACACCTATCTACTCTATTACTCTATTACTCTATTTTCTAGGTTCTTAATATATATATATATATATATATATATATTACTAACTAATAGAACAACTTGATCTTTCTGGATTTTTAAAATTTCATCTTGGCTCACTAACTGGCTAGCTTGTCTATCAATATTGAGTTTGCATAATTTTAAAAACTTCACAAATATATTAAATAATCAAATTGGTGTATCTACACAATTTTATTTTTTTGTTTCTCATTTAAAAAATACCTCTATTTAGTTCAAAAGTGTCTCTGCATAGAATAAATTGACTAAAAAGATATATCTTAATTGATTAGTATTTACAAAAAAAAAAATACCAACATATCACATATCATATTTCTTAACAAATTTTCAAGCACAATTCAATTATACCGATCAAATTAATAATCTACATTTCACACAACAAAATAATGATCATATAACCTCTATTATTAGATAATTCAATCAAAACACTACTAGGAAATAATTAGTTTCCCGTATACTGAGTCTTGTGATTCTATTACAACTCTAATTGCTAGTATATTGCTAGTCACTAAAATACAAAAATGATTGATAATTCACGTATCCAAAGATCGGAAAATTAATTTATTTTAATTATGTTTCTATTAATATTTGCACATCTAATATAATGTGATATTTTTCTTATTTCTTACCATATTAAACACATCATCATCATTATTATTATTATTATAATATAAGTAGACTTCAACAAAGATGATTTGAAATGAATTTGTGTGGTTTTGATCTATTCAAACCTAAATTTAATAATTCCTGTTTTCATACATTTATAAATAGTTTTACACTAGCCATCAATTGTCAATCATTATGATAACTTTCTAAGCATAAATTTTTTTATTATATATATATATATATATATATATATATATATATAACTTTCTTTCTGAAAGTTTCTAAAATTATAACTTAAACATTAAGTTTATAATAAAATGGTAGGTAAAGAGTATGCGGAAAGGAAGAAGGAAAGATAAATCTCAATTACGTTTTATATTTGTTTCTTATTTATTAGAGTTTAATGCGTTTTCTTATTTTATAGTAAAGATTTAAAAATATTTTATATTGAAATTCTCGCTGTACAAAGAGAAAACTTATGTACTTTGTTAAGCAAAATGTTTCTGCGAAAGAGTTTACAGTTCAGTTTTAATAAATTACAACGATTTTTTATAATATCCATAAATTTAACATGAGCTTAAACATAACTTTTAAAATATTTATTAATTACAAAATTTAGGAATTTGACCCCATGTAAAGTTCTTTAGTATGACTAAAAAGCAAGTTGTAATAACGTGATAGTGTGATGGTAAATGTATTTTTAAATAAATAATATTCGCCCAGTCTCATTTTCATTAACTAATTATTTGATATCATGAAAACATGTTCAATGTACAATTAATGTCTTAATTAATCATTTTTATCATTTGCATAATATATTTACGGAATGTAAAGATTTTAGTGAAGTAAAATTATTTTATCAAAAATATCTTTAGATATTTAAGGAATTTAATGTCTGAATTTCTTTTAATTATTTTTCTTAAATATTAATTACAATTTTCTTAACCATTAAGACTAGAAGAAGTAAAATACCTGCTCCACATCCTTTATGATTAGGTCCAATCTAGTGGGCCACTCTTCCATTGGACAACTAACCTGCCAGAAAACTGGGTAGCAGCTTTAACAAAATCTTTATATCTTTATCTATCTATCTATATAAATAAAGAAATTTCATGTTTATACAAAGTTAAATGATAATAATAAGATTGCTTACAGGAATTAGGTTAGATGGATGGATGCACATTTTTTTATATTTAGGTTTAAATGTTTATTTTGTTTTTATGTTAAGGGATGAATTTTTATTAGTATTCATTTTAAAAATGAAAATATTGAATATGAGAAATATACCTATAAGGTCCACAAAGAAAAAACAAGTTCAACAAACCATCAAACAAAAAAATTTAACAAGAGAGAGAAAAAGCTGAACAATAAAAGAGAGAAGAAAAAAAGTACGGCCACACTAAGATAGGGACTCAATTTCTTTCATTTTTAAAACTGGATACTAAACAAAAATTCACCTTTTAACATAGAAACGAAGTAAGCATTTAAGCGTTATATTTATTTTTGAAGTGAAAGTTTATATTTTTAATATTGGATGGAAATAAATTTTGTGTCTCAAATATATTTGTGCCAGTTAGAATATTTATTAAATATTCAAATTAAAAAAAAATAAAAGCCAAAAAAACGTTATACAATCATTCAACGTAATTAATACATATTTTTTAACGTCATATGATAATGAAAACATTTTTGTATAAATTAAAAATATTTAAATTGATTTAAAAGATTTGAGAATGTTTAATTTGTTTTAATATTCCTTGTCAATATCAAGCCAAGTTTATAAATGTTATTATTAATTTATTTGTGATCCTTGATTTAGGTTATTTTTTCCATTTAATTGTATATTCTAAACATATACGGAGATAAAGTTTAATATTTTTATATATTTTAAAGTGAAAAAAGAGGTAAAATCAAAATTTGTATTTTTTTACAAGTTTAAAAAGTAAATCTCACAATTCTTTTATCAGGTTACCCGTTCCTACTAACTCGCGAGAATAATTTCATTTTTGTATTGTCTTAATTAATTTTCAAATATAACAAAAATGAAAATGCAGTTTTTTAAATTCAAATTTATCAATACAATATGTAAAAATGACAATATCTAATTACATCAATTGAAAATACAGTTTACAAAGACTGGACATATATTCATAACATTTTTATTTCAACATTAAAATTAACTAACACATTAAAATGTATTTTCTATTTTTTTTAATATAGAGCCATATTGTGTTAGCGTTCAAAATTGAAAGACTTGCTAGAGGTGATTTTTCTTTTTCTTTATTTTTTTATTACGTACGCTTCAGCGGTTTTGAAACGAGAGAAGCGCGTAGCGTTTGTCTGTCTCCGCCATTCAAATTGCACGTTACGTTACCTTTTCACTTTTCTTTCGCTTTAAATCCAATTTGTCAACTTCAACATAATACAAAATTATTTCATTGTTACTTTATTGCTGTAAAACAAAAAAAATACAGTGCTTCAAATTAATTAACTCCCCATATTTTAACTGAAAAAAAATATAAAAAGTACATATATTTCAATACAATTCGTTCTAGCACCTTGTAAGAGGCTGCTTCTTATAGATGCCCGGGAGGGATATTCTCACACGATCACATCAACCCACAATTTTATTTTCTGTGTTTCGATGTCAAATTGGATTCATTGGTCAACGATACTCGTAAATTGCAATTTTATTTTCAAATTTAGGGATCACGATCCATAAATTGACCACAAGAAAAAGAAAAGAAAAAAAAGACAACGACGGGGAAAGCGAAGCAAGAACTAGGTCAAATTCGAGCTTACCGAAAACTTCATCGGTAAATTAATTAAAATAAAACAAGAAATAAATTCAAAAGAGACGAAAAAGGTACAAGTTTTAGGCAATATTGGTTAGGAAAATATTTAATCCGTTTGATTAACTCAGCAATTAATTAAAACTAAATAAGCAATGTGAAAGTATCTCAACGCGCTTCTAAGGCGCCTTTCTTCTTCCCCCTCAGCTTTCACCAGTGCGCACGTTAGCCACCATCACCATTCATCACCTTCTCTCTTTCTCTCTCTCTCTGTAACTAACACTACCCACACTTTCGGCACCTTCTTCAACTTCAAAACCCGTTACTGTGTAGTACTACTGCTACTGCTGTTACAGTTGCATCCTTCTTCTAGGGTTTCGATTCCCATGCTATGAGTCTCCGCCACCGTCACCCTCAGCCGCCGGCTGCCGGCGCTCCGGGCCGGGACGATGAGCCTTTCAACATCATTCCCTTGCACAACCTCCTCACGGACCACCCGTCGCTCCGCTTCCCAGAGGTCCGCGCGGCGGTGGCGGCTATGCGGGCAGTCGGGGACCTCCGACGACCTCCTTTCGGGCAATGGCAGCAGAACATGGACCTCCTCGACTGGCTTGCGCTCTTTTTTGGATTCCAGCGTGACAACGTTCGGAACCAGCGTGAGCATTTGGTTCTCCATCTCGCGAACGCTCAGATGCGCCTCACGCCGCCGCCGGACAACATCGACACGCTCGACGCCGGCGTGCTCCGGCGGTTCCGCAAGAAGTTGTTGAAAAACTACGGGGCGTGGTGCTCCTACCTCGGGAAGAAGTCCAACATCTGGATCTCCGACAACCGGCGTGGAGGCGCAGGGGACGACCTTCGACGTGAGCTGCTCTACGTGTCTCTGTACCTCTTGATCTGGGGAGAGGCTGCAAATCTTCGCTTCATGCCGGAGTGCATCTGCTATATCTTCCACAACATGGCGAACGAGTTGAACAGAATTTTGGAAGATTATATCGACGAGAACACTGGGCAGCCGGTTATGCCCTCGATTTCCGGTGAGAACGCGTTTTTGAACATGGTTGTGAAGCCTATTTATGAGACTGTTAAGCGTGAGGTTGATAGAAGTAGGAATGGTACTGCTCCTCATAGTGCTTGGAGGAACTATGATGATATTAATGAATATTTTTGGAGTAGGAGGTGTTTTGAGAAGCTGAAGTGGCCTCTTGATGTTGGGAGTAACTTCTTTGTTACTGCTGGTGGTGGTGGGAAGCATGTGGGGAAGACTGGGTTTGTGGAGCAGAGGTCGTTTTGGAATTTGCTTAGGAGTTTTGATAGGCTTTGGGTGATGTTGATATTATTTCTTCAGGCTGCTATTATTGTGGCTTGGGAAGAGAGGAAGTTCCCTTGGCAGGCTTTGGAGGATAGGACTGTGCAGGTCAGGGTTTTGACTATATTTTTCACTTGGAGTGGTTTGAGGTTTGTGCAGAGTTTGCTTGATGTGGGGATGCAGTATAGGTTGGTGTCTCGGGAGACAATTGGGCTTGGAGTGAGGATGGTGCTGAAGTGTGTTGTGGCTGCTGCCTGGATTGTTGTGTTTGGTGTGTTTTATGCCAGGATTTGGACGCAGAGGAACCAGGATAGGCGGTGGTCACCAGCAGCGAATGATCGGGTGGTGAACTTTCTGGAGGTTGTGGTTGTTTTCCTTATTCCGGAGCTTCTAGCTGTGGCTCTTTTTGTGCTTCCTTGGATTAGGAATTTTGTGGAGAAAACAAATTGGAAGATTTTCTACATGTTGTCATGGTGGTTTCAGAGCAGGAGCTTTGTGGGACGTGGTTTGAGGGAAGGTCTTGTGGACAATGTGAAGTATTCAGTTTTCTGGGTTGTGGTGCTGGCCACGAAATTTTGCTTCAGTTACTTTTTGCAGGTGAAACCCATGATTGCTCCGTCAAAGGCAGTGTTGGACCTGAAAAATGTTAGCTAAGAATGGCATGAGTTTTTTCATAACAGCAACCGGTTGGCTGTGGGGTTGTTGTGGCTTCCAGTTGTGTTGATTTATCTTATGGATGTACAGATTTGGTATTCCATATACTCGTCTTTTGCTGGGGCGGGTGTGGGGTTGTTTGCACACTTGGGTGAGATAAGAAATATGCAGCAGCTGAAATTGAGGTTCCAGTTTTTTGCCAGTGCAATTCAGTTTAATCTCATGCCGGAGGAGCAGTTATTGAATACAAGAGGAACATTGAAGAGTAAGTTTAAGGATGCCATTCACAGGCTGAAGCTCAGGTACGGTCTTGGTCGGCCCTATAGGAAGCTTGAGTCTAACCAGATTGAGGCCAACAAGTTTGCTTTGATATGGAATGAGATAATTCTGTCTTTTAGGGAGGAGGATATTATATCTGACAAAGAGTTTGAGTTGCTGGAGCTGCCTGAGAACTCTTGGAATGTCAGGGTAATCCGCTGGCCATGTTTTCTTCTCTGCAATGAGCTACTGTTGGCACTCAGTCAGGCCAAAGAACTGGTTGATGATAGTGATAAGAGGCTTTATAAGAAGATATGCAAGAGTGAATACAGACGCTGTGCTGTCATTGAAGCTTATGACAGTGTCAAGCACTTGCTTCTTGCGATTATCAAGCACAACACCGAAGAGCATTCTATTGTGACTGTTCTGTTTCAGGAAATTGGTCACTCTCTCGAGATTGAAAAATTCACTAAATTGTTTGATACAACTGCACTGCCTAAGCTCCACGACAAGTTGATAAAACTAGTTCAGTTATTAAACAGGCCGGTCAAAGATCCTAACCAAGTAGTGAATACCCTTCAAGCCCTTTATGAGATTGCTATCCGAGACTTTTTCAAGGAGCAAAGAAATCCTGATCAGCTAAAGGAGGATGGTTTGGCTCAACAGAATCCTGCTTCAGGTCTACTTTTTGAGAATGCCATTCAGTTACCTGACGCCAGGAATGAGAACTTCTATCGGCAGGTCCGGCGCTTGTACACAATTCTTACATCCAATGATTCAATGCAAAACATTCCAGTAAATTTAGAAGCTAGACGGAGAATTGCTTTCTTCAGTAACTCACTTTTTATGAACATGCCCCATGCTCCCCAAGTTGAGAAAATGATGGCTTTCAGTGTGCTAACACCTTACTATAGTGAAGAAGTGTTATACAATAAAGAACAGCTCAGAAATGAGAATGAAGATGGGGTTTCAATCCTGTACTATTTGCAGACTATATATGATGATGAGTGGAAAAATTTTATAGAGAGGATGCGTCGAGAGGGAATGACTAAGGACAGTGATCTTTGGACTGATAAACTTAGGGATTTGAGGCTCTGGGCTTCCTATAGGGGCCAGACCCTATCACGGACAGTTAGAGGAATGATGTACTACTACCGGGCTCTCAAGATGTTGACTTTTCTGGATTCTGCATCAGAAATGGATATTAGAGAAGGTGCCCGGGAACTTGTTTCAATGAGACCAGATAGCTTACATAGTTCCATCTCTGAAAGGTCACCTTCCTCTAAGAGTTTAAGTAGAGCAAGCAGCTCGGTTAGTCTGTTATTCAAAGGCCATGAGTATGGGACTGCTTTAATGAAATTCACGTATGTGATTGCTTGTCAGATATATGGAACTCAGAAGGAAAAGAAGGATCCTCACGCTGATGAAATTTTGTATCTAATGCAAAAAAATGAGGCTCTTCGGGTTGCTTATGTTGATGAGAAAACCACTGGAAGGGATGAGAAGGAGTATTACTCTGTTCTTGTTAAGTATGACCAACAGTTGCAGAAGGAGGTGGAAATTTACCGAGTAAAGTTGCCTGGGCCATTGAAGCTTGGGGAAGGAAAGCCAGAAAATCAAAATCATGCCATAATCTTCACCCGTGGTGATGCAGTCCAGACTATTGATATGAATCAGGACAACTACTTTGAGGAAGCTCTTAAAATGCGAAATCTCTTGGAAGAATACAGGCATTACTATGGTATCCGAAGACCCACTATTTTGGGAGTTAGGGAACACATTTTTACGGGTTCTGTTTCTTCTCTTGCCTGGTTCATGTCAGCTCAGGAAACAAGTTTTGTCACCTTAGGGCAGAGGGTTTTGGCAAATCCTTTGAAGGTTAGAATGCATTAAGGTCACCCAGATGTATTTGACAGATTTTGGTTCTTGACTCGAGGTGGTATCAGTAAAGCTTCCAGAGTGATCAGCATAAGTGAGGACATCTTTTCTGGATTTAATTGTACTCTTCGTGGAGGGAATGTCACTCACCATGAATACATTCAGGTTGG